TTTTTTTTTGTACATTTTAAGCCATTTGCATACTTTCATTTTTCTTTAAAACCTTTGATCCTATTTTCCAGCCAGCAGTTCCAGGTATTGCTCCAGAGGTGATTCCACAAACCTGGCCTGTCCATTCCTGTACAGCAGGAGGCGCAAGAGGCATATTGTGTAGGTGCTGGCTATGGAAAGAAAAACCCCACTCCTTACAAGAAGCTGTTGGGAAGCTGGAAACTGACCGTTTACCCTTTGTGATTTCAGTTCAAGTCCATGAAATTATGTCCATTTCCAATTACGATTCTCTTTGTGAGTTTTTCCCTCCCTGCTAGAGGATGTTGCTCGTCACCTTGAAAAGCCAGATTGAAAGAGTTCTGGACGATGTTTCAATACTAGTAGTCTCCCGAGTCTGGCAGCAGAAGTAAGATGTGACAGTCCGTTGCAGAAAAGGAAGGGAGATGTGGGGTGATGCTAGCAAAATTAACCCTATCTGTAAAGATCCTCTTGTGTAGAGTCTCGCACATTTTTCCTCCTCTTGCTGCTGGCCTGGTGGTGGTGCGGCTTGTTGCTCGGATGGCTTTTGCCACCGGAGAAGTTGTTCTGCTGCCCGTGATGGCCACTCTTTTGGTGAGAACGAGACATCCTGGCCTTGGAGGCAGAGGACAAAACATTTAGTTATTAATAGTGGTGGAATTTCCGTAGACATGCAGCGGGTAAAATAAGCACTTCAACTCAATATATTTCTAAAGGTGTCATTTACACGAAATCACCAGATGTCGGTAACAACCCATCCAATGGACACATGCAAAGAAATCAAACCACAGATGTCCATAAATTATGTGTAATAATGAGACATGACACAGGGATAAAGTACTGAACAAACTTACTGAAATGTAAGTAATACTTTGTACAAAAGCCTTTGTTTGTTCAAGACCCTCCTGCGGTGTGATTTTGGCCCAGTTGTCCAAACAAACAGTCTTCAAAATCTAAAGGTTCCATTCTATGAACTCTGACCTTTAGTTTTTTGGGAGGTTTTATTTGTTTTTGTTTTGTTACACTGACTTTCAGTTGGATTCAGGTCAGGTTGGCTGGGGCATTGTAGCAGCTGTACTTTCTTTCTCTGAAATCAATTGAGAGGTCCCTTGGCAGTGTTTGGGATCATCGTCTTGCTAAAACATCCATCCTCGTTTCAGCTTCATCCTCCTGGTAGATGGCAGCAGATTTTTAAAATCAAGGATGTGTCTGTATATTTTTCCATTCATCTTTCCTTCAATTCTATGAAGCATTCCAGTCCCATATGCTGAAGAACCCCCCCCCAAAAAAAACAAAAACCAAAACACAAAAAAACAGCCCCATATCATGATGCTCCACTGATTTGTACTTCACTGTTTGTGCGGTATTTGGGGGGTAATATGCAGTGCCTTTTGACCTCCAGACATGGTGTGCACTGTGGCATTAAAATACTTACTTATTGTTTTCTTTGAAACAACTGTACCTGCTGATTCCAGGTCATTCTGTAGCTCTGTGGTCATTGGCTTTTGGACAACTCTTGTAATAATTCTTTTCACTTCTGTCTGAAATCTTGCAGGAGCACCTGGTTTATGGTGAAATGACGTTCTTTCCACTTCAGGATTACGGCCCCAACAGTGCTCACTGGAACCTTCAGTTTAGAAATTCTTCTGTAACTGATGCCATCTGTGTGTTCTGCAATATTAAGGCTGCAAAGGTCTTGCGAGAGCTGAGATTTCAGCTGAAGTCATGACTTGCTATGCCTTTTTGCACTTCCCTTTTTTTCATGTGTTCAACACTTTTTCCCCTCATGTCATTTCTTATGGTTTAATTTCTTTGCATGTGTGGATTAGATGGGCTGTTACCAACATTTTGGTGATTTCATGTCAATAGCACGTTTAGAAATACATTTACTTGGAAAATTGGTGATGTGTTCCAATATTTTACCCGCTATACAGTGTCAATGTAACTTGCCAGTGATGGTGCAGAAATGTGACAAAAAGCACACTAGAAAAGCTTTTCCATTTCTTTTGCAATCTTTTCATTATCCAGAAAAAATAAATACAAATCAAAGTTATCCAGCAGTTTCCAGCACAGGGCATTCTAACATTAGCCATTACTCTTAAATATTGCACAAATTTTACTGCAAAAACATTAAGTTGCATTCTATGATTTTTCAATTGAAATGTTAAAATGTTATATTTATGCATCTGTAGTTCCTCTTGCAAGCTACAAACCTTTATAATTTCTTTTTGTCTAATGTGTTCCTCAATCTTTGCTCTTAAACTGTATCTGTTTGTACACAGGTTCGTCTTAGACAAATCTCAATAAGATAAATCCTTGATTTAAAGAGGTTAAAAACTATCACAATTAGTCAAAAGTCAGATTGATATGTGTGAATGTAATGTGAAGCTGTGAGTACCTTTCCTCCCTTGTTGCCTCCAGGTGGAGTGCTGGTAGTGTGGCTCTGTGTTCTGTGATTGCTGACAGCAGCAGACTTTTCTCTGTGAGCACTGGATCCTCGGCTGGGCTGCTGTTTGGCAGTCTTACAAGGTGTACTATCAGAGTCCTGGGTGGGGGACAAAATTTGTTACAAAATATAATTTCCAAAATATTTTGTCACGTATAAATCTTTCTTAGGAAGCTGTAAGTGTTACAGATATTTGCAATACTGTCATATTTGAAATCTGTATGCAGCCACAGGACTGACCCCATCACTTGAGGTGGAAGTAGAGGATGTGGAAGACGGCGACAGTGGGGAGGAGGAGGGAGAGGAGCGGAGTGACGGGGAAGAAGAGTTGGAGGAGGTTTTGCTGAGAGGAGTTGACAGTACAGCCACCACAGGATCATCGTCGTCATCTGGAACGTTGTTGTTGCGCTCATCAAGCTGCTGCGATTCAAACAATGTGACTTCGTTTTCTACAGAAGCCGGGAAAAGACAAATGCAGAGTGAACACATTAAGCCTGTAAAGATTACATTTGGTCTACAGTCTGGAGTTATTAGTATATTCAGCAGACAGTGAACTGCTGATCTTTAGTGGGTCAAAGTTACTTTGCAGTTACTTTTTTCAAACACATGAGAAAACCTGAACATACTGTTGAGTGGGCTTCCCCATTTTTTCCGGATCCATTCTCTGTAGTCATCCACTTCCTGAGTCACACGGATGATCCGGCCAAGTATGCTGTGATAGGACACAAGAGAGAAATACATAGTAAAACAGCAGTCTGAATACAAATGTTATTAGGGTTTGTGTGCATCAAGTGATGCAAGCAAAAAAAAAATTCTTACAATAACTAATAAGTATAAGAAAGTAGATATTATTTCACAGACTGAAGATAAACTGTAAGAAGCCCTTGTTTTTGCTGATAACCCTCCGCTCTGAATGTGACAGTATCAAAACAATCACTGATTCTACTGTCTCAGTTGTTTAAGTCCAAAGAATGAGAATTTCAGTATTAAGAAATTAAATTAGCATTAGACAAGACAAGTCCTCACAAGTTTCTTGAATTTGTTCCTTACCTCTCACTCTCATTGTTGGGGTAGAATTTGGCGATGGGTGACACGGCATGGCTGAGCACCACGTAGGCGTAGTCAAATGCCTGCTTCACTTGCATGGCACCGTAAGAGCTGCGGCCAACATCATTGTCTGTTGGACACAAGACAGAAGGTGATAACATTACCAATACGCCAATACGATGAAGAATTATCAATTCCACGTTGCCCGTTTAATGACAACACCATTTTCTACCATTTAAGTTCTGTGTTGAATCTTTTGATAAGGTATGGCTTTAACCACTTGCACTTTTTAAGGTTTCTGCTATTTCATAATTATTCGCCTTCATTATATATTACATTTGGTTAGAATAACACTGATGGCTCTGCAAGTCTGAAGCAAAAAAAATAATGAGGTCTTAATTGCAGTATGTGACATTACAGTCAGACTGGAGCAGCAGTTTTTACAGTCACGCTAATATAATACTGAAGAGATCAGACTGGATTTTCTTTGCTTTTTATCGACACACTGTTTGTGTAGCAAAGGCTTGTGCATTTAAATATGCACGCTGCACAAATTTAAGATTCAACACCTCTGAGGAATTAGAACAATTTCTACCTGGCTGCAGTGGGTCCTCAATGTAGAGCATGGAGGGCCTGTAGCCATCCAACATGTTCTTCTGAACCTCATCTTTGGCAACGTAGCACCCGCCGTCTTTTATCCTGATGCCCGTTTTCAGGTAGTTGAAGTTGCGCCCATAGAGCTCGAAGAATTCAATGAGCAAAACACCAATGTTGATGTTGAGACCAAACACATCCTCCCTGTAGTGAAGCTGGAAACAAAGTACAGGTGGTTGTTAGAAGTACTGTAAATCAGTAAGTTAGCTGCAATTCTAGTTTCTCAGTTTAAACTGCAAATTTCTGATCATTTTATTCACAGGTAAGGGTTTTTATATTTTGTAGTCTTTGTATTTTGTTTCGGAACATTGGGCGGGTGGGTTTAAACTACAGAACCAACCTGCAGAAAGCTGACAGCCATGAGAAAGAGACTGTAGGAGCCAATTCCACCGGTAAAAACCTCATTGAGGTCCCGTTGCAGTAGAAACTGCTTCAGCACCAGGACCAGATAAGGCAGCACAGGATATTTCTACAGGATAAAGACAATAGGGATTATTATATTGTACATTTTTATATAAAGTAGCCTCACGAGAAAGCAAGAATCTTCAGGATTCAGGAAGACCTCGGGGTGATCCCACACAGATTAAGGTCTAAGATCAACTACAACAGTGCTCAAACAATGTACACATCTTTAAAGGAAGGAACTCAGCCTTACAGGTGTTAATACAGAAAAATACATGGGGCAAAAAAAAAAAGGATCATGCATAAAATACACTGAACAGAAACTGTACCTCTTTGAATTCCTTGATGAGACGTGCAGCTTTCACTCCACTCGTCACATTGAAGCTGATGTCCACTTTAACTTCAGTGTAAGAGTCTGTCAGTTTAATGATGGGGACCTGGAACATGCGTGACACAGAATACGAATCCCTCACACTTGTTATAAAAGACATTTATATTTTAAATCTGCACCTATAAACTACTTTGTGTCTAAGTGTGTCTGTAAGTGTGAAAACAACAGGTTCACATGCAATCATACACAACTGATAATCCTCAAAAAGCCGATAAGCAGCTGAAAGTGAATATCAAGTGGATTTTAGTTAAGAACCATAATAAGCGACAGTTGCAAAGCAGAAAAGGCTTTTACTAAATCTTCTGAGGTGGTATAAACCCATATGTTAGGAAAAATCTATAAACAAAGCACAGAATGTTAATTAAACTTTTGGAATTGGTTGAAAAAACAAAAATGATGTGATATGAATGACAATGTTAGCTTCAAGATCATTACATACTGTGCCACTGCTAGACCCACATCACTTTAGTTTGGATGAAATGTACTCTGTCATTTGTAGCAACTTGAAGCATACCAAAGTTCTGATGCTGGCATTTCTCTTCATGCATGTCTGTACACATGCCTGACTATAATAAGACAACTATGCTTATCAGCGTCATCAGTGATTTCATACAGCTGCTTGCCTGGATTGAAGACACTGAAAACTAAGGCGAATTGCTCTACATGAATCTGATTTATTGCAGATAATTAGTAGCTTGCAATGATTCCATGTTTGCTTTTTCCACAGGTTGTGGCTTTACAGATTTATACCTCTAAACACAGAAGAAAAACTGGAAATGAAGTCTTACTGTGGCTTTGTCCAAAACTTTGATGGAGTTTTCATCTGCGACGTTTTTCTTTCGGAGCGCCTCTTCTAAAGTCCAGAGAGGGAGTGACTCCCACTTCCCAAAAACTACCAGGTCAATGTCACTGTTGAGAGGGCAAAATGAAGGGGAGGGAAAAAAAAGTTATTTTAATCCAACTCTTCTATACGAGTCCCTTAAAAAACACCAACACAACGCAGAAGCATTTCTGGTTTATCTTCACAGCAAAACATTTAGTCTCAAGTTTGTCATGTGACAAAAATATTGACCCAACTTCAGCTGAAATTTATCGTCGCACATAAAGACACTGCACATTGTTCCTCTGTACGAGTGAGTGTGGCGTGATTTTGCTAAAATTTTCTACTCCAGTCAACAGGTATTTTATGATAAACCAGCTGGATTTGAAGTTCACTTGTTCCATAATTTGTAATTAAGTACACAAAAGTTTTATATAATCCTCATCTTTCTTATACTGCCCTGTCTTAGCCCCGAAGTTCAAAAGTAATTTTAAGGCTGTGGGTTCTCAAACTGTGGTCCAGTCTCTGCTGAGCATTACAAGCAGGGTGTGGACGTGTGAAGCCCAAATGTGTGACTCAGAAGAATTACTTGTGACATCATTTCAAAATTTGAGCATGAGCTTCCATCTCTAACTGCATACACAAAACAAATGCCAAGGAAAAGCACAAGTGGTCCACCTTAAACCTATCCTGTGTGTTAGATAACTGCAGATAGATGGCTTTGGTTCCCTCTTGTGGAAAAGCAATGTGCAGCTCCTGACAGAGCCTTTTAAGAGTCAGCCAATGTGTATTAAGTCAGCAGTGCCATGTGTCACACACAAGCACCCAGCACAAACAAGAGGCGTGCAAACAAAAATATACATGCAGACCACAAAACACTCGACTCTAGCAGCTCGATACAAACAGTCATGTCTCTGGAAATGATCAAAAAATGTCAAAGAAATCAGTCACTGAAGAAAATCAAGCATTAATGAACAGCTGAGCCCTTTTAAAGCGCTTAGTATGGTGTTAAGAGTTCACTAATGCAGGTGGCATGCCTGCCTGTGTGTTGAGGGGGGTGGGGTGTTGTTGTCTACTTGTTGTCTGTCAGCAGTGGGGAGCCACTGAGTAAATCCTTTACGAGCTCCAGGATCAGTGGTGCTAAAATTACTAAACCACTTGACCCTCAAAGCCTGGCTAGACAGCGCACTTTCTCCATAGGTGAGTTAAGTAACTGTGGTAATAAGCCAGTTCAGTTACAGTTTGGCAAAAATGATGAATGCTGCATAGCTCACCTTGTTGGTAGATAAAGACCAGTGCTGAAACTCCCAAACACTTCCACCTGCAGATAAAGGACAAGCAGTTACACACATGTAGATATTTTTTTGTTTTGGATAAGAAATGCAGATAAAGCATGTCACAAAGGTCTTTTTAATTACAATGTTTTTTTAAACTCCTACACACCTTTATAGCTCTGACAAACCATGACATGGATTACCCTGCTGGCAAACTGAAACAAACACTATGATAGCATTCCTTGATTTTCCCACGCTACAACTGACTACAACAAAAACCTGTTCTACAGCGTGCATGAATATATTTTTACAGCTCAACATAGCAGTGATTTAGTGGCAGGCTTACACAAATTGAACAGCTTTTACAATAACAACAGCCTTTTTAGCTACTAATCTTATAACCTGCACTCTGTTAATGAAAACACATCTTCAACCTTCCCTTTTAACCTCTCTCAGAGCACTACACAAATAGAATTAAGCCATGGCCCACGTTTAATTCCCTTAAACCTTCTCTACACATTCCACTATAACCCAGAAGTATAAACTCTGGTTTACAGGACTGCCAAATGTAGAGCATTAAGCCGAGTGTAGAGCCATGACCGAATGAATGAATAGTAGTTCTTGAAGATTTCTGTGAAGGATGAGGTAACTATTGGTGGTTAGGAAGGTGAAAAGAGTTGTTTGATCCCAGTTTGGCATCTCCAGTAACACTTTCACTTGTGGCCTAAGTGTGGGGAATAACTGCCAAGTTATTGCATACATACCGTTAACATTTCTTGGTGCTTTTTGAATGAGACAATCCTACATGTTTACCTGGCAAGATTTCAATTTGGTACAGCAACAGCGTGACTGCTGGACTTCTTGGCATCTAAGCTAATTAAACAGGCATCACACTGACCTGATGACAACGCTGCTCCTGCTCACTTCATGGTGGGAAAAAATAAATAAATAAATAAATAAAAATAAAGCTGACCACAATTGGGACAGTGTTGTGCTCCTCATTTAGGAGCTGCTATTCCCAGGGCAGACACACTTTGATCCTGCTGATAGAGCAGTGTGCTTCAAAGTCAGCGGGTACAATAATGCCTGAGGTGGCAGTAATAAAATGACCCAAACAGTACTGTGCAGCAGCGAGATAACAGAAAACAGGATGCTTTATAAAAGCCTGACGCCTGTAGCTATTAGCTACATCACAAACAGCCTGATTAGTATTGTAAACCAACACTGGTATCTGACAGTTACAGGTCCTTCTCAAAAAATTTGCATATAGTGATAAAGTGCATTATTTTCTGTAATGTACTGATAAACATTAGACTTTCATATATTTTAGATTCATTACACACAACTGAAGTAGTTCAAGCCTTTCATTGTTTTAATATTGATGATTTTGGCATACAGCTCATGAAAACCCAAAGTTCCTATCTCAAAAAATTGGCATATCATGAAAAGGTCCTCTAAACGAGCTATTAACCTAATCATCTGAATCAACGAATTAACTCTAAACACCTGCAAAAGATTCCTGAGGCTTTTAAAAACTCCCAGCCTGGTTGATTACTCAAAACCACAATCATGGGTAAGACTGCCGACCTGACTGCTGTCCAGAAGGCCATCATTGACACCCTCAAGCAAGAGGGTAAGACACAGAAAGAAATTTCTGAACGAATAGGCTGTTCCCAGAGTGCTGTATCAAGTCACCTCAGTGGGAAGTCTGTGGGAAGGAAAAAGTGTGGCAGAAAACGCTGCACAACGA